TGACGGGCCTTTCTGCTGTTAACGTATTGTTAGCCCGGTTTCGTGACGTCAGCAGCATACACAGTGAGATGAAGACGGTCTTGGTTGAGCTCTTAATGTTTTAATAGGGAGAGGGAGGCAGAGGAGGGCTGAAAGGATCCGAGCCTCTCCCTGTTTTGCCAAGGTGGTGATAAGGTTTCAAAATAAAAAAATTAAATTTGATTATTGCCATGCGAATAAACTTGACAGGTTAATGGTTAAGGTTAGTTGCGTATCCTTTACAGGACGTTGCAGAACCAACCCCAGCAGCCCCTGGCTGTTGTATGGTTTCTCTAGGCAAATTTACGTCCAGTAGTTTGCCATTGCTTACTGAAGGTCGGCTTCTTGATACCACTGTCGAAAACCAACGCAAGGGACATGGAACGGAGCTGGGATCGAACCCGGCACCCCGGCATTACGAAGCGTTCGCATCGACGTTGCCACAGAGCCGACGACAGGTTAATGACAGATTGATAATTGAATCAGAAATGAACAACTGTGTATTGTTGCCGACTAATTTATTTGCCATTAAACCTAGAGAGATTGCATGCATGACGTAAGCGCTACCTGATCTGGAATTATTTTAATAGTGCTATCAGTATTCACGTTTGTTGGTATGATCATAAATAATACGAGAACTATTATTTGGAAATGAAGGCAACCGGCGTTATACTGACTAAATCACTTATCAGGTGTCGACTGATCTACACAGATCTAGCAAAAAGTATATAATATATTCGATGCGCCGTTGGCGCATATAACAGTTGTTTAATATACTTACCTACTTCACTTTTTCTTCTTCTTCTCTTCCACCTTTTACCTCATCGAAGTGTCGGGGGGATATGTAATGTTCGTTGATGAGCTCTGTCAAGAGCACTATTAAGACTGATGTTTATTTCTGTAAGGTTTTTCTTAATGCCATCACTCCATATTTTCCGAGGTCTTCCATTCACTCTATACCCGTTGTAATGTTTCAGTGTGGCTCGCTGTGGCAGATAGTACCAGGGCATTCTTGTTATGTGTCCAAACCACTTCATTTGTTGCTCTTCACTAACTATTACACAACAGTATTTGACAAGAATGTCAACACACGCGTATATTTATTTTCCTATGTTACAGAACCAGTTCTAAACTACACGAAGAGAGAACGGATCAAATGGTTTGGACATGGGTCGAGACTACCACCAGACAGTGCACCACAGACAGCCCTGTCACTTTGACATAACAGAAGCACTCAAGAGGTCGACCACGCCAGCGATGGATGGATGGATTGAATATCACAGACTGTAAATTACAGCATCTAAGTATTGCATACCAAGGCTTACCTCCGAAGCCTCTTGGAACCGTGAAACTGAAAGACGGAGCAGGACTGGAGAAGAAGAAGATGTGTTTCGGAAGCTGTCCACCAGGAGTAAAATACAACAAAGATTTATAACATCATCATCACAGGTCAAGATGTCCGTGAGTACAAATTGTCTCGTCAAGGTGTCAGTGTGTGCTCGCTCCGGTTTATTGCTTTTATCGCCATTCCTCTTGTTTCTACGTGAATCTCTGTGTGTCCCTGTATTTGTTTTTATATGTTTGTCTCTGTGTGTGTTAACGCTTTTTTTTTAAACCCCTTCTCTGAATTTTGAGCTATAATAATGTCTGAAACTGCAGTTGTCATATGCGAACGCGATGTGTGATTTTGAGAAATTGTTGACACAGACAATTAATATTTTAGCTTGCACAGATGACGGTTGCGAAGTTATTTTGTTGCAAGGAAACTATGTTGTCAAGTAGTAAATGAGTTAGTTAGTTAGTTAGTCGATAGATTATCCTCATTGCAAGTCAAACCACTCATTCCTTAAATGTCCGGATCCCCTCCTCAGTAAATCCCACAGCGCCTAGCGGTTGACAACACCAGTTCTTTGTTGATTTATTATTCTTTTTTGGCTATCTGAGTAATGTTCTTGTTTGGCGAAACCCCGTTTAACATGTTCTTCTTGCAGTCTGACCATGATTGCAGATGCACAGTTCTCAGTTAGTTCACGCATACGTCAATCAGTAACTGTGGTAATGACTCAGCGTTGTATGTAGGTTTGTAAGTATTTTATAAAGATTTTACCTCAAGGATTGCAGTCTGTGTGGCGTCCGTGGCTAAGGCGTTGCGAGTCCGACTCGTAAGCCAGCATACCGCGATCAAAACCCACTGCAGGCTGCGTGGATTTTTGTCGTGGTATGGGACGTCGCAGGTCGACCCAACCTAAAATGGGTACCAGGATGGGCTGTCCTGGGAAAGTAAAGACAGCCGGCGTAATGCTGACCACATTACCACACAGAGTGCTGATGGTCTGTAAAAATATGGGACGCTCTGCCCATATGCCCGATGCGCCGAAAGGCGGGAAAAGGGATCTTTACTTTACTTTTTACTTGCAGTCTGTAGGATTGACATCTCAAGGATAAGAATCCAACAGTTACAAATCCCAGAAACCAAGTTTAACTGTCCAGCACTGAAATACTGGGAGTCGCCGTGGTGTAGCGGCTAGACGCTCGCGTATAGATAGGAAAGTCGTGGGTTTGCTGCCTGACGAAGCCAGACTTTTTTTTTTCAAAAATGACCTTGACTCCCAGGTTGACTGAGCCTTGAGTGGGTACCGGGTGCAGTGGGGGGAAGTAAAGGCTGTCGGCGTGATGCTGACCACATCACCCATCTTGTGCCGATTGGTCTAGCCCTATATGTCTTATACACATAAAGCGTGGAAAAGGGACCTTTGCTTTACGTTACAGTAATACGGGGACACCACAAAACGGTAACGAAGTAACATATCATCCAAGAAGGGTTGTGTCATGATTGTGTGTCATAGATTAAAGTTCAACCTTTAATACACAGTTCTATTAAGACCAGCACTGGCTGCTACTGTTAGAGCTTGTTTAGTTGGCACGGCGTTTAGAAACGAGGTATAGATATCTAGCAGACTGCTTGTTGACTGCGCCTACTAGATCAGGTATCATTTGCATTGTAACACCGTAGAAAGTCAGCCCACGAATGTAAGCCATAAATTTTGGGCTTGTTTGTGTTCAGAAACTCACATAAAGCGCACCCAGTATTTACACCGTCAATAGCTGTATTCTCGTAAAGATCTTTACGCTCCAGGTACTTGCTATAGGTCTCCAGGTCTGAAGCCAAGTATTTCAAATACCCAGCCAGCTTTCTGGCTGAGCTGAAATGAGCTGCGTTAATGTAAATGTTCTTCGGAAAGTGTCTTATGTTATCAGCGCCGCCCATGACAACGGGGATAACATGGGTTCCAGGATCAAACAGTTTGAACAACTCGTCTGTAATGTAGTCCCGGCAGTCTAGGTTTTCAAATGATAGATAAAACTTGTAGTCAGAGATAAGCATATCCGCGCTTAGAGAACGGCTCCCTATAGACATTGTCTTTCCACATTTATCAAATATGTCCACATCAACGTACTTCTGAAAAGAAAGCATGTGTTAAAACAATAGTATTATGAACATACAACTCAACATTTTCATTAATATTCATTGTTATCACAAGCGAGAAACAAGAGTGTTAAAGTCTTAGGTAGAACCTTTGTTGGTATGTATATGTGAGTCATGGATAATGAACAAAGTAAAAAATAAAAAAAATACCCATTTTGCTTCCGGCAGGGGTGTGGTTTCTGAAAATACTGCAAAGAATATGGAAGGATGGAAAAACAAACGCAGCGGTCATTATGAAACAGATGAAAGTGGTGGTAGGTAAACTTACTAGAAACAAGGTTTGATCAAAATATCAACATCATGGCAGACGGGTAGTAACCCATAAGTGCTCCGTTCTTCTTCTAACTCAAGTCTGAGTCCCAAGAAGCTCAGCACGGTGCACATACTCTGTAGCACCTGAAATACTTTGGGTAGATTTTAAACTCAAAATTTTGCCCGGGCAGCGCCGTTAGGCTACTCTTTCGATTTCCAACTGTCAATGGATTTTTTACGTGCGCAAATAAATGCACACGGGCGTCCGATCTCACTACCCAGAGACCAGGGGGAATTACTAGAGGCCCAAATCGACGTGAAAAAATCCCAGCCCTTACCGGGGATTAAACCCGGAACCTCTAGCACTCGATGCAGAATCCATGCCTCGAGACCACACAGCACCCTCTCTACTAGAACAATCAGATGTGGACAGTCAAAATTTTCTGGACATATTATGAAGAGGCATGTACTCGAGAACTTGGTAACAGCTGGCGAGATTGGTGGAAAAAGAGCAAGAGGAAGTCAAAGAGATAAGTTCCTAGATAGCCTGGCGAGATGGATAAGGCCAGACAAAAACATTGAACTGATCCGTGATTCTGGTGTTCATGTGAGATGGCGAAACATGACATCCTACCCTTACCAACTCAATTCTGTTTGGCTATTTGGTTTTACTAGGTAATTTTACGTTCAGTAGTTTGCCATTGTCGGCATCTGTGGCTTAGGCGTTGAGAACGCGCTTCGTAATGCCGGGGTGCCGGGTTCGATCCCTGCTGCGGACGATTTGTTTTATGTTGCTTTCGACAGCGGTACCGAGAGCTGACCGTGCAGTTGCAATGGCAAACTACTGAACGTAAAATTGCCTTAAAAAAACACAACAGCCAAGAAAAAAATGATGGGTTTGGTTCTGCAACGTCCTGTAAAGGATACGCAACTAACTTTTTAGCTTGCCATTGCACTGAACAGTCAGCTCTTGATACAGCTATCGAACGAAACCATCGCAAAGTGGTTCGCTGCCTAATCGCCCGTAGCTGGAATCGAATCTGTTATCTCGAATTTACGATACATTTTCGCAACGCTAAGCCGCGCACCGACATAGAGGATAATTGTCACAGAGTCAAGAACACAAACATTAAAGAGCATCAAGGTGCTTACTTGTATTTCATTTAGATACTGGTCTCTGAGAGAATATGCCTTGCAATGGCTGACAACCCAGACTGCTGACTTTGTCTTATTTTTGGCGATTTCATCTGCAAAGTTTATATATATATATATATATATATATATATATATATATATATATATATATATATATATATATATATATATATAGAGGCAAAGACACATTAATATATCCTACGTACACACATACAACTACACACACAGCAGATACGTAATACAAACATACAACTATATACATGCATACATACATAAATACATACATACATGCATGCATACATACATGCCTACATACATACACAAATGATTCCCATATACATCAGCCTGCCTTCCTTTTTGGTGTCACTCAAAGGAAGGGCGACGAATATTTAATCAGCATGCAAGTGACTCAATTTTTATTGGAGCTTTGCGATTACTGCTGAATGAATGTGCTGGAAGCTACGATATCAATTTTCTGTATACGTTACTTCGATATAATGGTTCGTAACCCTCTTCCAGTCCAGTCACCATTTTCGCAAGGCAATAACCTCTGTTTCTAAGACCGTCTAATCTTTTGGATTGTCACAAAGTTCTCCAGACACTCAACATCCTTTCGTAACGCGATCAACACTTGAAGGTCAACAATGACTAGGTTACAAGAGTACCTACAATAGTCTGGTCTACGATCCAAGGGTTTCGGATGAAACCAGAACGTGTACGGTACACACATCTCCGAGTCTCGTCGGTAGCTCAACGTCATGTTAAACGGCCTGCTCCACAAGGTTCTGGTTTCTGCCAGGGAATCAAAAGATTAGAAGAGCATCCAAAAACCACAGATGAAACTTTAGCCTTATTGCACTGGGGTCAGCCGATTAGTTCCCACACATTCATCTACAATTTTTAAAAATGTTAACAAATATGTATTGGGTTACCGTCGCAATTTAGTGGCTAGAGGGTTTTCTTGGTACCTGAAGGTATAGTTCAAATCCTCACCCAAGCGGATTTTAAAAAGGTAATCTGGGTTTTTAGTAAAAACCGGCCTCTGACTGATACCATAAAACGTCATTGGCGGTAAATCGACCTTACTCTATTGACCACATATCTGCCAAGTTTTGATTGGCATATTTAAATTTAAAGCGTTTAAAAAACAAAGTCAGCTGGGTGTGAGGGTGTTACCATTTAAAGAATAGTAGTCGTCTGAAGTGTTTAGACTGCGTATCAGTCCGTCTGTCTGCTTGTCTTCCTTCTTGTCTGAGTGAGGTCTGAAGATCACAATGTTATTTCGACCTAAAAGCCAAATTATTCACCGATATATATATATATATAAAGCTCGTTCGATCGTTTATCCGTTTCTTCTGTTTGTATATGGATATGTCTGTGCATATTTCTTTATGTCTTATTCATGCAGACTCAACGGCAGGCGAGCCTTTCACAAATGTTTAGTTTTAATGATATTGATATGTAACAGAACAACAGCATTACCTACTTATGAGCAAACGGGACACTGTATGGATGGCAGATTCCCTCACGGCAAGGATATAAAGCTGATGTTTCCAATGTTTAGTCGGTAATTTCTGTTTGGCCGTCAGGTAGTCGGCGTCTACTATAACAACATCCGTCGTTGCTGTCACGTTAAAACCGTGAAAATGACAGTTGGTAAACTTGCAACTGGAGAAGTTAAACACATCCTTGTTTAACCATTGCGACCGCTGCAGAAAAGCCACATGGAATGTGCGATTAATATAATTGGAGTTCTGAGGCAAAACGTCGTTTGTAGAAGGCAATGGACATTCTGTAAAAGACGATTCTTCACCAAGGGCACTATCAAACATCGCTGCTGTAGCGGAACTGGCTAGTTCAACAATATTTAAACCATGTCCTATCAGCTGAAATCTATGGGTGGCCTGTCCAGTTCTCCAGGCGTCAGACACATTTCTGACATTAATGTAGTGGTATACTGCGATTCTGGCATTGACCAATGTCCTGTACAGTACGTGAGAGAAGGCGGCCACTTCCACGTAGAACACATAGACATTGACGGACACCGTGGACAATATGATCACGGACATCATTATTGCTTTCTGCTGCAGACACAGAGCTGGCATTCTGAAACCTAAAGTGAATTTTCAGTGATTAAACCGACAGTACACTAAAAGTAGAGACATTGTCTTCTTTCCCATCAGGAGTAGAAGTTTCTTGTCTAGACCGATATGTTCTTTTAAACAGGCCAGTTACTAAAATCCACATTGACTCTCTCTTCAACTAAAGAGAACGAATCATAATAATACAGATTAGATGGCTTAGAAGAGCTTCTGGAGTAACAAGAAGAGGTAAAATTCAAATGAAGAAATAAAAAGACAAGGACTGAAATCAGTTATGCAGTTTATTAAAGAGCAACAGATGAGATAATTAAGCTTTTCAACTTCTACGCCATTCGGGAAATGTTTCCCGCCCAGGTGGGTTTTCAGTGGACCAAAAAGTTGGAAATCGCTTGGAGCTGTCGGGGCTGTAAGGTGGATGTTTCAGAAATTCCCACCCTAGATTGTAAATTTCCTCTGAACTACCTCAGTCGTATGTGGTCTGGCATAATCATGAAGGAGTAGTGCTCCTCTAGTCAGCAGGCTCAGACTGATACCATGAAACTTTCAGCTTTGCACCACTTTACGGGATAAACATTTATCAGCATAGGCAGAAAGCATTTCCTTTTTAATGTCCTTGGCAGGAGCCCTTTTTGCCGAAAAAAAAGCCGGACAACAGCACGTTGTTCTTTGAGGATACACTCCGTAAGTTAGTCCCCATTTTGTTTCTGTGTTGCGGATGCGCATGCAACACCTAACGCCACCTAACGAAATAAAGTTCGTTGTTGCTGTCACCTAATGACACCTTTAGAAACCACCATCTACATTTTACTGCTATCCCATGACCATTTGCAAGTTACTTATTGACTTCTCCTCGTACGTTTTCGCTAGATTCTTCTTTAGCGTTCGGTTTCGTATGCTCAGGTCAGATCGCCAGGCTGGATGTCTCTATAAATTCGCATGCTAGTTGCTGGTCTTTTGTAGCTGCCCATAGCTTGCTCTGTACACTTTGCTCCTGAGGTCAGGCTTCTCTTCATGTCCGTAAATATAGCGGGCAGGCCTGCAGAAGGTGCTCGGATGTTTGTGGGCTTATCTATCTGACATACACACTGTGAGAAATGTAAAATTTTGTTTTTGTTTTGCGTATCCTTTATAAGACGTTGCAGAACTAACTCCATCTAAAACGAACGCAAGTCGTTTTGCCGCCAATCGCCCGCAGCGGGGATCGAAGTCGGCACCTTGGCATTACAAAGAGCGTTCGCAGCACGTAAGCAACAGACGCCGACGCAAGCTTCACATGTACGGTCGTACCATTAAAATAGCTAAGACTGGCCACGGCCAGCTCCAGATTTATAAGGCCGTACAGCTCAAACGGGAATTCCCGTTTTTGTGCAAGAATTGAGACCCACTGCGTCCACAGTTTTTATCGAGGAGATGTATACACAAATTAAACTACAGTTTCAATAATTTTCGAAATTTTTTAGAACTATACCTCATTTTTAAGGTAAATAAGTGTCCCAATTAAGTATAACAATAAAGACTCTTACAGACAAACGAAAATGCTTTTGCTGCAGTCAACATGAACATAGACATCAATAAGGTTTAGATGTAAACTAAAAGTTGTTCCAGCAAAAGTAAAGAAATAGTGCTAACTCTTTGATTCTAAAAGGGTATTGCTGCATCAGAGGAGCGAGAGGGGTGGGGTGGGGTGGGGGAGAGGAGGGGTGACATTTGTACTTTATCAAATTTAGCGCATACAAATACTGCTATGAAACATACACATGTCATACATAACATAAATATAAATGATTGATGGTTATTATTATTATTATTAGTAGACTACTACAATATATAATTATACTGTTATTTAATAATTAGTACACAAGTACAATCAGTAGGAAATTGATATGTGCAATACTTTTTTCACCCAGAGTAGTTTTCTTAACAGTACTTATAGCACTACTAAATATGTATCCTCAAGGTACAAACAGCACAAACAAATTTTTCCAGTTTCATCTTGCTGGATGAAATCAATTTCTTATCATTGCGAATTTTTTGGTAACAAATATGCATAGGAAGTGGATGAACAGCCAGAAGTTTCCGCAAGAGCTTACAGCCAGTGTTCGCGAAGCAAAGCAAAAGCCAGTTCACAAAAATCAACACAGACCGTAGAACTGCAAATATGCAAAAGAAGATGAGCAACCAGAAGTTTCCGCAAGTGTTTACAGCCAGTGTTCGCAAAGCAAAGCAAAAGCCAGTTTACAAAAATTAACACAGACCGTAGAACTGCAAATATGCAAAAGAAGATGAGCAACCAGAAGTTTCCGCAAGAATTAACAGCTAGTGTTCGCGAAGCAAAGCAAAAGCCAGTTTACAAAAATTAACAAAGACAGTAGAACTGCAAATATGCAAAAGAAGTGGATGATCTACCAGAAGTTTCCGCAGGAGTTTACAGCCAGTGTTCGCGAAGCATAAGTCAAATAGTTAAGGATTAATATTATTAGTGTACTGCTACAACATATAATTATACTGTTAGTCAACAATTAGTAAAGAGGCAAAGAGTGACTTGCTGTGAGAGGTTAGTTAGTAAATTAAATATTATTGTCATCCACTTACATAGAGCTCCGAAATATCTTGACACAAATTATCCACAGTGTGGTTGCATCATTTATGCACAGTCAATATGAAAACAATAGTTTTCTTCACACACAAGATAGTTTGCACCTGACAACTGTCGATATTTTCCAGATATGGCTTCTAAATTACCTGTTTGTATTATCCCTAAAAGTAAGATTTCTACATTTAAAGTAGAAAAGTAATAAACAGCCAATTCCCAAAAAATCTGAACTACTGACTAGAAACAGTGACACTGACACACACATCACAACACGACTGTCTCCCGTGAATTACAATTAAAATTGCTGTAATCTAACAGCTTGTATGTCCACTTTACAATATCCGCTTGTCGATTGGTAATACGAATACAATCAGAAGACAGAAGTTTGTAAGCATATTATAATGTCACAAAATGCAACATGGAAACGCTTGCAGTAACCTATTTCCGCGATTAAGTTGTACGGCCTTATAAATCTGGAGCTGGCCGTGGACTGGCTTACGTACCTTAAGTCCCCTGGTTCTGACGCCCTAGTTCTCTTCTTAACAGTTTGAGCTTTTGGTAACAGACTTGCATACTGATAGAGATCACACTAAATGTAGTCCCCAAAAGGCCCAAGAATAACTTCATAGACAGTTACATTTCATGTGGGTTCACGAGTCCAATTCTGGGGGAGGGGGGGGGGAAGATAGACCCCTGCCCCATAACAAACTTGTCGTAAAATGCGACTAATTAGAGATGTTTCCATCGAAGTCTGAGTGCATCTGCCTGAGAGGTAAGAAACCAACAATCTGCGTATAAATAAGTCAGATCTGTAACGAATGTGCGCACACAGCTGTTGTCATGTAGTAAGACCAAAGTACACAAGGGGACGAACAATTACAACTTTCTGCCCGAGTTTACAGCCGGCACAAGAAGAAAAGGGACACATACATCATTACCTGTAGAAAAAACTCACGTACGCTGAAATATATTTTATATAATAAAGATACACACGTTAGTTATAGAATAAAAACACTACATACACTGAGGTAGGGACTAGTGGCAATCGTTGTCTAAGTGTAGAACGCGCCAGATGTTGATAACCAAATATTTAAACAGCGAATAATAGTTGCAAGCGTGTGAACCCTCATAACAACACATCGATCTATACGTGACATCAAGCATGTGACTTTTATGTTACTACAGCCTGCTCCTCACTACCCCCCCATCCCCACCCCATCCCCACCCTTTGTAATTTTCTTACACCTGTTGTTGTGACCTGTGGTTGTGACTTGTGGTTGTGACCTGTGGTTGTGACTTGTGGTTGTGACCTGTGGTTGTGACCTGTGGTTGTGACCTGTGGTTGTCGACTACCGGCTGGGGAAAAAACACACTCCAACAAATCAACGCGGTTTCCATCTGGAGATTCGGAATTCAAAAACTGCTTAATTTAAACTCTTTTTACTGTCCCAAACAGGGCATGCCAAACGGGAACGTACTTGGTGGCCACATTATTAAAACAAGTTCTCAAACAAACATTTAACTACAATGTCACATTTATTCAGAACAATATCAGAAACCACCCTCAAAACCCAGTTCAATGTAATGTAATAAATATATTATGAAAAAAATTACATGCAATACCTAAGAACAATATTTGGCTCTAATTAGCAAGACAAAATACTGAGATTGTTGAAAAGAGCAGGCATGCGAACAGTTTTCCTAATGCCCAGTCTTTGAAGACTCACTTGACTAGGACATGTATGCAGAATGAAGAATAGCAGAGGAGTAGCTAATGACATCATCTATGGTGAATTACAGATTTAGCGATCGGTCCCGGTATAAAGATGGATGTAAGCTGGGCATGAATGATACAGATAATGAAGTGAATTCGTGGCAGTGTTGTATGGAAACAGAACATCTGAAGAGACATAGGCTCAAGAAGGACAATATTTGCAGTGGTTAAGCATATTAAACATATGATGTGCAAACGATGGTCCGTAAATATGATGTTTTTATTGTGGAAGACTTTTCTTAACGCCTAGCCAATCCACATTTTCTTAGATTTAGTCTGGCTTTCCAAATATTTGATGTCCTTATAAAACTCCGGGTCTTAATATTTAGACATATTGTTACACCCATTAAAAATACGAGATTAGTGATCATCCATTTGTCATCATTCAGTCCCTTTATGTGAGGAATAGCCGGCCCATTGATTACAACTTGGGAACTTACAACAGATGGCTGCACTGGTGCTGATTAAATGCCCATTTACAGATATAATTCTTGGGAAAAGCTATACTACCAATGACATGATGCACCTGGGGACACAATAGGTTTAAATTGGGAAGGGGCGGCGCAGCTGGTGAATTAGGAAGCGAACAACTAATGGGTGTTGAATTAGTTTATATCTGGTGAATCAGAAAACTTG